CCCCAAAACCCCAAAACCCCAAAACCCCAAAACCCCAAAACCCCTTTGTAGGAGAAGAGTATTGAGTTATGTTTGAGTTTTTATAGATTTAATGATTTAGGAGGAAAGTTTGTTTTCAAAAGTTGCTTTCCTAGCTCAGACTAGGATTAGCCTGGCTTAAATTCTAGTAGAGAAATTGAGTTAATCTAATCCTCTCATAAGTGAGAAAGAAAGATTTAGAAAAAGGAGAGTTTTTCTTTCAAAATCTTTATGTGAATAAAAGAAATTTGGCACCGAGAGTAATGGCTGACAACCAGTTATCAGAAAGAAGGGTAAAAAAGGTACTAAAGCTATTCAGAAAGAAGATATTGCCGATAAGAATGAATAACAAGAAGTACAAAAACAAAAAGCTTTTAGGCAACAGAAGCAACTAACCAAGATTTGAGAGAGTTTTATAAGGCCAGTAAAAACAACTACTTCATGCTTAAAGATATTAAACACTCCTTAAAAGATATAAGTAATAAGTTTACTAAGATTACAACCCAGGTGATATCTAAAAAGCTGAAGGCAAAGCTGGAATACAGTTATACAAAACAGCCAGATGAACCCTATAACAATGATTTTTCAGTCAAGGTATGGCATCTCACAATAGTGATCATGGATGAAGAGTTTCAGAGTTCAGGTTACAAAATCATCTACGTAAAAGAATTCTCTTTCTCCACAAAGTCCTTCAAGCATTACGGTTGGGAGAAGAGAGGCAAAAATACCTATGCCGATGTAAGCTACAATGACTTCCCCATGAATCTAATCTTGTCATTCTCAGAATTGGGTAACTATGGTACCCTGGTGAACAGTGGAAGCAATACTTCTATGATATTATCGTACTTCATCGGCATGATGCCCCAGAGCCCAGACTGGAAGTATATCTTAGTCTGAGGCAATTAAAGAATACACAAAGCGAGGCAGTTGAGAGAGATCTGAAATTACCAGAGAATCTTCATACTGTCCTTCATATTCTACAGACCTTTCCTTTAAACTCGTGAGAAAAGCTCACCCTGATGGTTGATAAACGAAACTTCAGAATTTATTGATCACTTGCAAAGCCATTACTCCGGTTAAAGTTCTGAATATTTTTGAAGTATCATATAAGCTTCCATTAATTATTGTCAACTATTTTTGACAAAATTGGGGTTTTGGGGTTTTGGGGTTTTGGGGTTTTGGGG